AGGGCAAGTAGCCAACATGAGAAAGTGACCCAGGTGATCTACTCTTCCTACTCCACAGCCTGATCCTGTGGTCTCCATAGACAGTTTCCTATGGTAAGTTAAGCAGCAAAATGCCCCACACCAGCATCACTGACTCTTTCATGTTTGGCTATGGCAAAGACTTAATGTCTGTCATCAACCTTCACATCTGTGAAATGGGGACCCTACAGATTAGTCACAAGCCTTCTGTGAGGTCCTAGTAAGGAAACATTTGTGAAAATGCTTTGTAAGCTGTGACTTTTAATGTGATGTCCCAAGGGACCATTTCAAAGCCCTCAGTGATTTACAATAGCACAAGCTCATTATTCCCTTCCTTCTCCAGACAGTAGCTCAGAAACTTCCTGAAGTACTTATCTTACCAAATGAGTCAATTTGCACATGGTCCCTCAACGAGGCATTGTCACCTGGAGGCCAATTAAGGATTCCCTGGTTTGTTAGGACTGGGGAAGCTGCTAACTCCCTCTTCAGATCCCACCGTATTCACTTTGAGTCCTATGAGCCCAGCTGGGTCAAAATGAAACTAGAGTTTTCCATCTCCCTCTTGACCTCTGAGATGGTCCCTTGACCTCCAGAGCAGGAGTAGCTATCATCACCAGCAGAGAACTTGGTTAGAATTCAGGTGCAGCTATGAGCTTAAACAGATGATTAAACATGTGATAGCCATGGCAGAGTCAGCCTCCAACCAGGAGACATGGTGAAGTTCTGGTGCTGGCTATACCATTGACTAGCTGCATGACCCAAATTTGCCAAGTACTTCACATCTCTGAGGTCACTGTTCATTCAACTGTGAAATAGGCAGGTAGGATCATGATTGGCAGGATCTGCTTAGTTCTTCTGCCATATGCCATGTCTGGGTCTGTGGCCTTACCCAGCTAGGATCTGTGTCACTGTTCACAGCTCCTGTTATCACTGAAGGCTAAGTGAATGCCTGGGGTATGGGCTGCCACATGGGGATATGTTAGCATTTGGGGGCCACATAGTCACTGGGATCATGCTGATCTGGGCAATCGGCAATGCCAACAAGGGCCATGAGGAAATCTGGGCCTGGGCTATTGCTAATGACTATGTCAAGGTTTATGGTCCTACCACAGCCTGAGTCAGTCTGTACTGATCCGTCCGTGACCTGTGTTGCCACCAAAGGCCACACTGATAACCAGGATCTGGGCCTCCACCTGTGGCCTTCCTGGTGCCCAAGGAAGTACTGTTGCAGGGCCCATACAGACATGAGTGGCATGTGTTACTTCCCAGGGCTGTGGTATCATCCAGGTCTGGGCTGCTGCCAGGGGTCATGTCTAGGTCCATAGGCCTAGAATGCTGCCAGGGGCTGTCTCTGGGTCTGTGGCCTGACGTCCATGGTCCCTGTTATCACTGAAACAGTGAGGATAAGGCTGTGCAGAGTTGGCCCCACCCTTCGCTCACTGCAGCACAGGCAGAACCAGCCCTGCACTTCACCAACTGAAGCACCAGGAGAGCAGGCCCTGACACACCCCATCCCACCCCCGCCCCGGGCAGCACAGCAACGTTTTCCCTGTTGGCAGAGGTGCAAGTGACCCAGCCCTAAAAATGCAATGGTCTGCTACACGGTGGCATGGGTGAGGAAGAGATACCCTCTTACTTCTTGCCCTTGCCCCTCACCACCTAGCGCAGGCAGGAAAAGCTGATTCTGGCATCATGAGAATGTGAGAGCTGATCCTGCCCCTCATTGGCTGCAGCATTCCAGACAGTGGGCCCAACACCTAGCCTGGGAAGCACATAGAGCTGAGCCCATTGTTGGGGGTGCAGGTGAACTGGCCCCACCCTTCCCCCTCCCCTGCCCTTCATTGCCTGTGTTGGGTGGGAGAGCTGGCCCTGAAGTCATGGGAGTGGGTGAATTGGCATTGCCTCCCACTGGCAGCAGCACTGGGGAGAGCAGGCCCTGCACTTGGCCTGGGCAGCACAACAGAGCTGACAAGTCTGGGGGTGGGGATGAGTTGGCTGAGATGGAATGAGAGCAGGAGCACTGACTCCACCCCCTCATCCCTCATGTGGTGGTCATGACAGGTAGGAGCATGACAACGGAAGAACTGGTCCTACCCCTCACCAGCTGTAGCACATGGGAGAGTGGGCATGGCACCTTGCCTGGGCAGAAAACTAGAGCCACCCAGACCGAGGGACTATAACGTAGCCCATCCCCATATCCTCATCCGTGAACTGCTGGTCTTCATGAAGGGGCCAGGCCTGCAGATCCAAAGCTACAGGATCACCATGACACAAGGCAACAGGAGTCACAGTGAGGGCAATGCCATCCAGGTGGGGTCATGAAAATCTGTCAAGTCATGAAGTAGGGACTAGGGCTTCTCTCCTGTCTCTAGATTAAGGCAGTATCCCTCCATGGGGGATGTATTTGCAAGGTCCTTTTGTGCTTCAGGAATACATCCTGGATCCACTGTCTGAAGTCCCTTAGACTGCTGAGTCCTTCTAGCTGAGACCCATATTCAGGGGGTCTGAGTCAGTCCCATGCTGGATTCCCAGCTATCAGTCTAGGGGCATGTTAGCTCCTCCTTGTGCAGGTCAGCTATCTATGTGTTTCTGTGACCTGGTCTTGTCCTCTCCGTCTGCATCTGGATTCTAGTTTGACTCAGTGTGCCCTACATGTGGAATTGGGGTGGGGGGATGGGAGGGAGGGTGGTCAGGGTGCATATGAGGTGGGAGAGAGGGTAAGAGGAAGGGATGAAGGGAGGGAGAGGGAACTGGGATCGACATATAAAATAATAATAATAATAATAATAATAATAATAATGATGATGATGATGATGATGATGATGATGATGTAACTAATAAAAAACCCCAAAATTTTTCAAAAAGAAAAAGATTTACAATTATGTTGTTGTTACCTACTGAGTGCTAGGATTTCATGTCTGAGCAGTGAAGCGTGGAAGGACACTGTCCACGAAGACAGAGGCTATTTGGTGTGATAAAGCATAAAATACTTCAGTTAGTCAATGTTGTCAAACCTATTGCCATGGGAACAGTATTTGAAAGAGGAGAAAGAGAGGTATGGGGGGATTTTTAAAAAGTTTATTATGTTCCAGAATGTTCAAAATTTCTAATTTCTCCTTCATTTGGTTCCCTTTGAATGCAAGTACAGCCTGTGGCCTCCCACATTCGGACAGGAGGGGAATCTCATCAGGAGTGCCAGTCTGTGTCTAGCCATCCACCTCTGGATGTGCTGAGTCTCCATAAGATCAACTACATGGACAATATGAAGACTTTTCTTCTTCACCTCCTCCCTTCAGAGCCTGTGTGCCAGAAGTAGGGAAGGTGACTAAGCATGGAGTGGCTCACATGAATGCAGGTAGAAATGATGGGCTCTGACCTGGGATGCTGGCACTCAACGTTATGAGGTGGTAGAATGGCCATGTGAGAGGATGGCAACAGGAAAATGAAGACAGAGGAACACTTGAAGTCTCTTTGGTATTTCTGTCCTGTCTCAAGAATAAAACCCTGCTTTATCCATTGTACTGGTGATTGGCATTTGACTGGTCCCCTATTTCAATAGGCCATTTTGAGCAGTGTTTTGTAATCTCTGTTGTGTATCCCTTTTGGAGCATCTGCATGGACATGCATGAGTATATTGGTGGAAATCCACCAGTTCATAACTGACTTCTTGGGTAACGAACTCTGTTCAGTTGCAGGGGATATGTATCTGATGCAACACTTATCGAAAGGATCATTTGAGTTTACTCTTTTCTCATTGGTCCCAGATGCTATCATCACCAGTAAGCATATTTTATTGTAGTCATTCTGGTGGGTGTGAGGTGATGAGAGCTTTAGCAATTAGGGGAGTAGGGGTGGGCATTTACACTGTGAGTAACAGTGATGAGTGCTTTGATGCTTAATCAGTGCTCATGTAGATAGACTCCTTTGTGAAATGTTCTAACTCTCTTTTCCATTATTCTGTTGAGGAGGCTGCTTTCATGTTTATGTACAGACTTTATTTTTCTAATTTGCATAAAGAGTTTGAGTACTTGCTTTTAATTCATTCTGATCTACCATTCTTTTCTCTGTGGTAAGTATTTTTCCATATATATATATATATATATATATTTTAATTTTTAAAAATACTTTTTATTTTACATATTAATCCCAGTTCCCTCTCCCTCCCATCCTCCTATTCCCCCTCCAACCACCCCCACTGTCCCATTCCTCCACCCATTCCCCAGGGAGGGTGAGGCCTTCCAGGAGGGGTCATCAAAATCTGTCAAGTCATTTGGAGTAGGGCCTAGGCCCCCCCCCCACGTCTCTAGGCTAAGGGAGTATCCCTCCATGGGGAATATGCTCCTGAAGTCCTTTTGCACACCAGGGCACCAAGGATACATCCTGGTTCCACTGTCAGAGGTTCCATAACTGAGGCCCTCTAACTGAGACCCATGTTCGGGGAGTCTGGGTTGGTCCTATGCTGGTTTCCCAGATATCATTCTGGAGGTTCATGAGCTCCCCCTTGTTCAGGTCAGCTGTCTCTGTGGGTTTCTGTAGCCTGGTCTTGATCCCTTTGCTCATCACTCCTCCCTCTCTGCAACTGGATTCAAGGAGTTTGGCTCAGTGTTTAGCCATACAGAAGGACATCCCCCATCAGTAGCTAGCCTTCTTGTTCTGGGGTCCCCTGTCTCTGCCTTCTCAGAGCTGAAATGAAAGAGTGAGATTTCATACAGCATGTGATGTTGCGTGATATTTCTAGGAGTGTTGTGGATATTAACGATGATACCAAGATATGAGTGCCATTAGCCTTGTTTTATAGATGAAGACACCGAAGCATTGGAATACATAACTTGGGTAACTTGGGAAGAGTGCACAGAAACTGAGTAGTATGCTCAGAACCAACACTTCAGCCTTCTTGCCTCTGTAGATGCCATCTTGCTGGGTTACCATGTATCATATGACAAACATTTGAATGCGATTCTCTTACAGGTCCAGTGATTTGGATGATTCCAAGGCAGAACCAAAGTTGGGTTTCTGAGTTTATTCTGCTTGGCTTCTCCAGTGACCCCATGACCAACAGCGCTCTCTTCATTGTGTTCCTTCTTACCTACCTGAGCACAGTCATGGGTAATGGGCTCATCATCATGCTGATCTGCATGGACACACAGCTGCACATGCCCATGTACTTCTTCCTGTGTATACTCACCATGCTGGATGTTGCCTATGTCACTACCACCATGCCCCAGCTGTTGGTGCATCTTCTTACTAAATTTCAGACCATCTCCTTTGCTGGCTGCTGGCTCCAGATGTGTGTGTTTGGTGCATTGGTCCTCACTGAGTGCATCCTCTTTGTTGTCATGGCTTATGACCGGTATGTGGCAATTTGTTATCCACTAAGTTATACTGTTATTCTCAACTGGGACTTGTGCATACAGTTGGCAGCTGGGACCTGGATCTGTGGATTCTTCTTCTCTCTGATACACACCTTCTTAACCATGAGGCTTCCATACTGTGGCCTTAACAAGGTTAACCATTACTTCTGTGAAGGACCCTCAGTACATAGCTTGGCTAGCATGGACACTCATCTCATTGAAATCGTGGATCTAGTCATGAGTGTCTTCCTAATTGTTGCCCCAATCTCCCTCATTGTGGCCTCCTATTGCCATGGTAATTCTCAAAATAAAGTCTACACAGGCCCGCTGTAAGGCTTTCTCTACCTGTGCCTCCCACCTAACTGTGGCCACATTCTTCTCTGGTTCAGCCTCTTACATCTACAACATACCTCCTGTTACTTACTTCTCTATACTGGAACTATACATGCTTTCATTGACAAAAGCATGTGTGCAAAGAGGCCCATCATTATCCTGATAGTTGCTGGAAGCTACTGCTAGAAACTGCTGCTGTCATTTCACCTGGCTATCACTCCTTGCTCCTGGACCTGAGGCTGAGAGCTCCCTCTGACACTGCTCCCAGGTCTGGGGCTTGGGTCTCCCTTAATGCTGCTCAGAGCCTGAAGCTTGAACCTCCCTCTGACGCTGCTTCTGGGCTGGGATTCAGGCCTCTCACTGACACTGCTGCTTGGGACCTGAAGCTCAAACCTCCCTCTGATGCTGCTACTCTGGGCCTGAAGCCCTGGCCTTCCTCTGACACTGCTTCCCATCACTATTGAGAAGCTGAGTCATCATGACTTTTATCCACTATGCCTTACTTTCTGATATAAAACGCACTGGATACTGAACTCCACCTTTAGGATTGATCTGAGACTAACTACACAAAGTCACTCACAATCTAAAACTAACAAATATGAGCAAGAAGTGAGTCTTTGCACTTATAATCACAAAGATTACAAAGGTGCTTTCAGTTGAACTGTAGTGTAATCTATTTATAAGAGAGCCATCTCTGTTTCAAGAATATTATCACTAGTTGTTAAGTAGTTACACTGGATCAAATGCTCAATGTTATTTATATACTATAAAGACATTGTCTCTGTCTTCAACAGTGAGCATTTTTCTTACCCAAGGTTTCATCATCCTGATTCATTAATCCACCTACCATGCCCCATCACCCTGAGAAATGCCTTCCTGATGTCTTTTTTCCTCAGACTGTAGACCACGGGGTCAAGAAAGGCAGTGAAGGCATTGTAAAAGAGAGAGATCTGCTTGTCTCTCTCGGGGGAGTAGCTGGAGTTGTAAATCAGCAAGAAACATACTGTTAGTGACCTTATAATAGAAAGAGTAGAGGCTGAAGTGCTATAGGGTGAGTCGTACAACACAGATTGTCGTTATTAAAGTTAAAGCAACAGTGTGTGGAACAGAAGCAGTACAGGCCAGAGACCAAACTTAATACATAAATTCAATGTGCTCTATGGGTACACATGAACTATGCATTGTGTGGTCAAATAACACAAAATTAGAAATCAAGTGTTCTGGATTTCATTGCAACATTTCCAACCCCTGCTGCAAATGGCATTCAGTGTCTGAGGACATGTACTGTCTTTACCTGCAGACTGCCAGCCCCTTTTGTATACTTAGGTCATCATTTGCCTGTCAGCTCCAGAGTACTGCTTGCCTGGCTGATTGGCAAATTCCTCTGTGATTCACGGTCTTCCAATAATGTCTTGTCCATTTTCTCCCTAGTAATGCTCATCTAATTTTCTTCAGCCATTTTTTTTGGGGGGGACACTAAATAAATCCATTCATAGTTAGGACTTATTATTATTGTTTATTTGGGGGTTTATTTTAAGAGAAGGTTTTATATATCCTATTCTGGCTTGGAATTTTTAATGTACCTAAAAGCAATCTTGAACTTCTGATCTTCCTGTCTCTACCTCCCAAGTACTATGATTATAGGCTTGTGACATAACATCTGGCTGATGTTTCTGGATGATATCCTTTGTATCATAAAAATTTCACTTTGGTAAAATCCAACTCATCTACTTTTATCTGATTTTCTTGGATATATCCAAAAATCATTTCCTGATGTAAGATCATGAAAATTTCTCCTAGGTTTTAAAAGATTCATTTACATTTTGATCTATTTTGCAGTAATTTTGTGAATGGTATGTGGCAAGGGTCCAATTTTACTCTTTTGTGTGTAGATATCTATTGTCTCATCCTTATCTTTGGTATTTATGTCCTTGGCTGATATTGGTTGAGAATACACTTTAGTGCTAATGTTGAAATGACTAAGGTAACACTATCTGTTCTGACTCCGTGTACTTGCCTAGACAATTTTCACTCCTCCAACTCTCTCCCCTGCAACAATCACATTTTCTTCACCAACACATTTGAGATCTCATAGCCTTCAAATGACCATGTGAACTCAATCACCTCCCACAAATATATGGGATATATATTTAGATACATACATAAATTATATTTTTAGGGATATGTTTTATCATTCTTTTATCCTATTGGTGCCCATAATTAAATTAGCATCCATGTAGTGGGTCCAAAGCTGGCATCATCAGATATCAGTGTGCACCCACAGATATCTCTAGTAGTCAATGAAGGCAGAAGTAGCTACATGAGCAAGTGGCCCAACTGCTATATTCCTGATACATCCCTTCCCCAGGATGTAGGGCCTGTGTTCCCCTGGGAAGTTCCCTATAGTGAATTGAGAAGAACTTATTCTAGTTACACATGGTTTTAAATGACTTGCTTGCCCCACCTGAAAGTGGACATCAGAGCACCGTGTTCTGTTTCTGGATATCTCTGAAGACAGTGTCAGGAGAAACCCTTCCAGGGGACAGAATGATGTCCATGGAATTTGGTTGTTCCTTTGGTTTGGAAGAAGAAATGGCTTCCAGGGAAGAGTCTATATTGATAGTGCATTGTGGTCCATGGGTTGGTTACATGGTCATGAATATCCATGGAATATAATTGTAAAACTGGATAGAGTGAGTGTGGAGAGATCTGTGGGTAGCCTTCTTAGAAGTAGGAAAGAGTGTTAAGATGTTTCTGTCTCAGGCAAATCCCCATCAAAGGTATTCTCAACAGTGGTAAAGAATGTTAAGATGTTTCTGTCTCATGTGAGCTCCCATCAAATGTATCCTCAAGAGGACAAGATGTGAAGAATTAAGTGCATAGGATAAAATTCTCTGCAGACACCTGTCTGCCCCTTTCCCTGGCCATCCTCTCACTGATTGTCATGGTCACCTTCACTTCCTTCTCCAGATACAAAACCAGAAAACTTTTTTAAGTACTCACCTTACCAAATGAGCCAATTCTCACATGGTCCATTAATGACACACTGTCAGCTGGGGGCCAATTAAGGAGTCCCTGGTTGTAGGAGCTGTAGATGCTGCCTTCTTTCTCCAATCTCAACATCTCCTCAGAACTGTGGGTCCTCCTAGTACAGAATGAAAGCTCTAGAATTTGACTTTACTTCATGCTGACCTCTGAAGTGGTCACATGCCACTATGGAGTAGGCCAGGCTCTGAGCAGCAGGGGCGTTTTTGATAGACCCCAGATACAGCCATTAGCTTGAACCCATACAATTAAGCATGCGATAGACATGGCAGATTCAGCCTCACCCATGAGGCAAGTGACCAGGCCCTGGAGTTGGTTCTACCATTCCCTAGCTGGGTGACTTTGCCAAATCACTCATGTCTTCTGTGTCATTGTTCAATATCCATGCAATGGACCTTTAGGACCATGGTTGATCTCTTGGGCCTGCAGTCATTTAGAATGCCAGGGTGTGCATTCCCTAGGAGCAGCCATGAAGATCTGTTATATCTGCCTACCTCTTTGAGTCCTCACCCAGAAAGTTATAACAATTTCCCTATCAGAAACTTTGAAAGTCCAGCTTTTAAAATTTCTGCTCAGGGTTAAAAAAAAAAAGAACTACAAATAAGTGAGGGATCTACAATCTGAGGGAAAAAAAGAATTCACACATACACACTTGCTCCTCGCATGTCCTTTCTTCTTCTCTCTTTGCTTCTCTATATCTTGTCTTCCTCTCCCTAACTCTCTTTTCTGTTTCTTTTATCTTTCAAGTTCTTGTCTTCCCCCAGTTCTTGGGGGGTACATTTATATATACATTTGCAACAGTAATTCTTTTTACAACACAATGTGAGGCTTGAGTTTCTCAGGGTCAGTAAGGCAGATAAGATTTGCACACAGAGCAATAAACTAAAACTGCTAGGAGAAACTTTTAGCATGAATTACTTAGGACTGTAGATCAAAGAGAGCATCTAAGTTTGATTTTCACAAGAAACAAAACCTCAGACAATGGAACCAGAATGTATCCCTGGTGCACAAAAGGACCTTGCAAACACATCCCCCATGGAAGGATACTGCCTTAATTTAGAGACAGGAGAGAAGTCCTAGTCCCTACTTCAAATGACTGGACAGATCTACATGACTCTACCTGGTTGGCATTGCCCTACATGTGGAATTGGGGTGGGGGGATGGGAGGGGAGGGTGGTCAGGGTGCATGTGAGGGGGCAGAGAGGGTAAAAGGGAGGGAGAGAGGGAGAGAGGGAGAGGGAACTGGGATCGACATGTAAAATAATAAATTAAAAAAGGAAGGAAGAAAGAAAGAAAGGAAGGAAGAAAGAAAACCTGGCACCTTCCAGTGCTTTGGCCTCAGTGGCAGCACAGGCCTTCAGGAAAGTTTGCTTTTCCCTGAGGATGAGCAAATGGGCTGATTCCCTATGTCTTTATCTTCTCAGGGGAAACAGGAGGGAGCAGTAAATCTCTGAGTTAAAATCTTGGCTTAGTAAAACAAGCCGTTTGGGAATCTTTTAGTGCAGAGTTAGTTTAGGTTATCACTTTATCTGTCAGTGAGGTAAAGGTAAGGATATGCTTATATTTTCTATCCATCTATGCAGCTATGAACCAACAATTTTGGAAGTGTAGTAATTCTATGTTCTTGGATATCTGGGAATGTCTTAGATGGAATGCTTTTGCCTGGGCCCTAAACACTGACAAAATGCCTGTCAATAAAGATAATTGCAATAAAGGCAGATCTCTGCAATTGCAATGGAGAGGGAAACAAGGACCTGATAGTGGGAAACAGGTCTTATACATAGCTGAGGAATATAATCAGTAAACTAGGACCTGTTAATGAAGAACAGGAATTTACACACAGCTAGCAAATGTAATCAATAAAACTCCAAATGCATGAGAGAAATTTGTTCCCAGTAAATTATCAGATGGTGCTGAACTGTGGGAAGTAAATCCTAGGTTTGTTACAGAAAGGAATAAGCTATAGGAAGAATCCACAGCAAGACACAGCCAATCCGTATTAATGCCAGGTACAGCTTTTGTAACTGGTTTCATCCTTCAGAAAATTCCTTAATTCTTCTAAGTTATTCATGATGCTGATGAGGACCAACAACAGGAGTGAGAAGAGTTGGGGTCAGA